AAGCTGACGTTATAGACTTACATCGACTCAGTAATATGAGAGAGAGTTGCTGTATTGCATTTACTAGTTTCGACTGAATCGCTTGAGCCGCATACTGTCATAAATAGTTAATGAGGTATAAAAAGTGTTTGCCATGGGGGCAATCACGTGTCCAATACTGTGAGCAGTTCTATACCCAAATGAATAATATTTCGTCCAGTTATCACTTTTGTCTCAGTTGGTACCGTAGGGTATAAATGAGACTGATTCACCCAATGAGGAGGCACTTAATTATTTAATAATTATTTTATAATGACCTTGAAAGGGGAAAGGGGTAAATCAGCGAATTTCTGTAGTTACCGCAAAAAAGTAGTTTCATATTATCATTGCATTAGGCATGTACGCCGACATAATCGTTATCAAATTCGATCACATTTGCATTTTGTAATACACACCATCTTTTCAATTCATATCAATTGATTGTTGAAATACAAAAACAAGATAATACAAAGTTTAATCGATGATATCATTATCTACTTGGGGCTATAATCGCAATAGTAAGTCATCGTCGTGTCATCATCGTCATTGTGTTTTTGAACTAACTTTTTATCCCACCCCGCTTTTACCTGACCATAAGTTCTTTTATTATCCAAGTTAGATCCTCTAAAAGCAGATAATGCATGCTTCGACCGCATTTCTTCATGTTTGCCAACAAATCCTTCTAGGGTACGTAGAGCGAAGGAATTCGCTGACGCAGTCACAGCAGCTTAAGATTTCATCTTAAGTGCAAATTGACAATGAAATCACATCGGGAAAGGTAGATTATTCAGCCGTATTTGGTCTACAGCCGCTTGCAGAAGAAGTGGAATGGAATTTGTAGCACATTGTGAGGGTTCATACTGCACCCTCACCTTCTAATACAAGCACTCGCTTCTCATTGGCTAAGCGCTATTTGCTAAACCTAATTTGTTAGATTGACCGATTAAAAGGTTAATTTCATCTGTTCTGAATGTTCAAAAGCGACTCGGTTGTATCACCTGTATGATGATCTTTATCAGCAACCCTAACAAGATATCACTTGCAGCAGGAGATAGAAGAAGAATTTTTAAATCCAGATTTGGCTCTTGTCCGCCTAAATATGACGAAGCAAAATGAATCGACATCGATCATCCTGAAAAACTCTTAGTTTGCCATGACGTAAATCAATGCATATCAAATGAAGTCCTGGTAAAGAAAAGAATTCCCATGATCTTAGGTTTATTTCAAGCATTGACTTCATCTTTCAAAGAAATGTCCTCTTTTTTCAACGCCTTGTAAATAGATTAATCTCATTTGTTTTATCATCAATCAACCTTGTGTAAATTTGATCACTAAACAAATACATATCAAAAGAATCCTTATAAATAATTTCTATGAAATCATTTTCGCATTATAGATCCCAAAATTCTTTAGATAGGTCCTTTGATAATTGAATTATGAGAATCGGATCACTACTTAACTTTAATATTTTTTCCAAAGAGAGTCAGTCACCCAATATGGCTACAGGTATTAAGTACAATCGTGTCGTTCCTGTCGTGTTATACATATTAAACAATCATTAATCAGGGTTGACGCTACGAATATCCAAAGTCATGGAAGTAGTGAACACGAAACAAAAATGGTAGACACTGCCAACTTGAGGAGATCCATTGTTTATTCATATTTATATATCGTTTTTCTCTGTTAATCATATCGATGGAGAGTTGTTGTTCTGCTGCAATCAAAAGAGTTTTTATTATTCATGTCTTTGTTGATCTGTATTGGCATATAATCTTACATTGTGCAAAATGTTATTTTTGTTTGCTTTTCCGCATATCCTATTTCATAGATTCGATTTAAAATATGCTATTGTTGTGTGTTTATCTCCTTGATCAATATTGGACTAAACTAGTTCAAAAAAAAAACCATCGTTTGTGATAATTCGAGCACACTTGCTTTTGATTCACCTGCGATAATTAAACTCTCATTGAAAATATATTGCGTGGGTTATTTACAAAACATGTCAATATTTAATGAGCCCCAAGGCTAGCACAGTGTCAGGGGTAAAGTCCCCTGCCCCCCTTTCATCAGCTTCCCATTCAACCCTCCCACGCACATGTCTTCTCGGTATACCTTGAAAAGTCAATGTGCAGATGTTTAATTGAATTTGCTGGCCATTATGACGTCACTCACCGATGCGGAATTAATCTGTTTTAATTCCACGTGAAACGAAGGCAAAAAACATGAGCTCTATATATATTGATGACGTGATTAACGCCGTGCACTAAGAACGCATCTTGCGTCTTAAAATAGTCTGCTATTTTATCGTATGGCGAAAACCATCCAACGACAATGGAAAACGCCATAAAAACTACCAATAACAACAACAACAATCATCTCAGATCATATCACATGTTTTATTAATGTTAATTGTTTGCCCTCTAATTCGACTCTTCTTTCACTCATTGCATATTGGGGAATTTAAAGCTGTTTTCATACGTAGGTAGATCTTGTAAACAGTGTGGTCAATGTGGAGAAAGAAGCAGTGACTTGATTAGAGTCAAGTATGCGTCACAAAGACTTTCTTATTCAGAGATAATGACTCTGTCATATTTCTACTTTCAATTTATGTAGTCACTGGCCATTAATCAATTCTTTAAGATGACCCCTCCAGGAATATCTTTGACATCATTTCACCTGACGAATATTCAAGGCAGGTTATCTTGTAGAATGCCCTTCGTTTGCAGGTAAATGAAACAAGATTCGAAAATAAATTTTAAATGATATAATTTTTTTAACGGATATGATTTTATAAGATTATGAACTTATGATAAAATTACACTCATTTCTTTAATTTAAAAAAATATATATACTAAAGAGCACATTTCAGTTGAAAGTGTTTTTTATGGCTTGTTTAACAATTCAAATGTAAATGAAAATTGATGACAAAAAAAATGTATTTTGAGATACATTGAAAGATGATCTTTTGGGTGGTTTCATGCATTATGATCAGAGGCGTTGTGATTTTGAAAATCGAAGAACAAGAGGGGGGGGGGGAGAATCCTTCCAAGACAACGAAGAGGAGTAACGCATCTCGTCACCCCCTGGGGGGGGGGCGTACGTCACTACTGGATACACCATCACAGATTAATATGTAAGACGAATGTTTCACCTCTTTTGTTTTTTCTTGACTTTGAATGTCTGCTTTTCAAGCGTAAGATTACAAAAAAAGATTCATCATTCATTTGAAAATGATGATGATGACGATTCGCCATATTACTATGGCGCCATATTTCTGTATAAGACATCAAATACACAGACTCCTCCTGTTTTAACCCGTTGACTACTGCATTATGCCACCAGGTTCCAGTAAGCAATGGGTTAAGAATTGTTTTCCTAGTTTTCCTTGCTGACTACTCCTAGAACACTTTTAACTAGTTTGTGCATTTGTTTTCAAAAATAGTGCTACAATATCGTTGGTCATGTTCTTAGACCGCGGTGTATCTTTTACTTTACCAGCATAGTTTTGTTGTCTCTTAAAATTGATGAATTAGCCATGGCTTAATAAATTTGATTGATTGCAAGCAAAATTGCATGCTCCATTTCCATCGCCTGCCGCCTGTGATAAGTTACAACAATTAGACCTTATAGTGTGCTAACTTGGGTACGTATATTATTAACCGCTTTTCCCCCTAAGATTATTCGTTCATTTGTGCTGTCTTGTTATTCGACATATTGACAGTAAGTTCCTAGATTTCGTTCCGTCTTGGAATCAGCGGAATCAACGGAATCATCCCTCTATGATGCCACACAAGAAGTGAGCCTAGACGAATAGGAACATGAAACGGGAAGTGCCCTTTTCTATCTTTCCCCTCGATCTCCTCTGCACTATATCTGCACCCCTTTTCTGCGAATTCGTCCTCAAGATTTGCGGCCCAACAGTAACAATATACCGGCCAGAGAGAATAGAGAGAAGGAGAGGGGTAAGACGGACCTCAGTTTAACTTAAAAGGGGAATTTATGAATCGGTTATGTGATCTTTTGGAGAGGCCGAATTTATGATTGAGGAATAAACTTCATGCGTATCTTATAGCACATGCAATCTCCCTTTTCATATACAAGTCACTTCGCCTGCAATTACGGACTACATGTAATTCAGAAGCAATATGATTTAGTATATTGTATATTAGTTACATATTATGTAGTTTGTTCAGTTTGTTTTAAATTGCGTGTACATTTTTGAGTCACCTAAACATACCCCTCCCCAGGTGATTAATGTTTACTAAATATCTACCTAATATACGTGGCGCCAATTTTGCACCACATGCCAATAATTATGGGGTGCCACATGACTCGCGTAACTTCAATGTCACATGACTCATAACTAGATACCTACATCATGTCACACCTTGTTATCACGCATCCTGCAACATAAGATATCTACCCAATATGCACAAATCAGCCATTTACATAATTATATGTACATGAAAAAAGTGATGTGATCTATGATAACGTCACTCCACATTACAGAATTCTTGTAATCACTCATGCAATCACGTTGCATCTTATAATTTAAAATTATTCCATAACCATGTTTAGAAGATGTCCTTCTTCTTTTCAGCCTCACCCCCAATCTGTTCACTCTCTCATATTTTTGTCATACACCCCTTTTCTCTCTCTCTCTCTCTCTCTCTATCTCTTTTCTCTTTCTCTCCTCCTCCTCCTCCTCCTCATTTCCTTTCTCTCTTTCGGTCTCTCATGGTCACCCCCTCCGTATGTCTGTCTATCTCTGTCTGCCCCCTCCCTCCTGCCCGTTCCTGATCTTTCTCCCTCTATTCCCACCCTCTCTCTCTCTATCTCTCTCTGTTTCACTCTCTTTTTTTCTCTCTCTCTCTCTCTCTCTCTCTCTCTCTTTCTGTATCTCCCTCTCATTCAATCACCTATATTGCTTTTATCTCAGTCTACGAAGCGGTTACACAATTAAAATGACCTGAAATCGTTATTGCGAATATATTTTTGTTTTATTTTTGCAGTGAGACATATTCTTTTACAACATCATATTCCATAATAACTTACAATACTGAGTAATATATATGTACCATAAATAAACTTTTTGACTCGCAAATAAATATTAACAACTGCTGAAGTATGCCGTATCAAATACGGCGAACGAAAATATTACACCCAAAGGGATACAACTGGCCCAAAACGGAAGGATATCAAAAATTAATAAAGCTAGGTAGAGAACCGTCTACGGCAAAATCAAGCCAAGAATTAATTACCTACTTGTGCTGTTCCTTTTATTGTCAAAATCCACTCATGTCAATTTGATACTTTGCTTACATCCTACTTTCTGACACTCTCCTTTGAATTAGTCGCCTTGGTGGCGGTTCGAACTTAATCAGTTTGGCATCCATTTCGTGTGAAGCTAGTGACTGCACGCAAATCTCGCCAGCTCAAAATTGGAATGAGGTAGGAGGGAGAGCATTGGGATAGAAAGACAAACTAGTACAGATACAGAAAAGGAGAAAAAATGAACGTAGGCAAGAGACATGTAGAAGAAATGACAGTTGCTTGGTTCCTCTCGTCCTTGTAGATTAATGATGTCTAACGTGCAATTTCGATCTGGGGATTTGGAGTGGTGTGATTGATTCAGGGTATTTTACCTTAATCCTCACAAAGATATCCTAATAAATCACAAATGGTTACTTTCATCAAATTGTAACGCTATTCACTGTATACAGGAATTTAAAAAACAGACAACCTTTACCAATATCATAATGTCATAGAGGTAAAAAATTTGAACCTTATTCATATTATTCTGATCAAAACAATCCAAGCATCTTATTTTTTCAATGTTTTGATTTAATTGATAAATATCTACCTTTGAATACATTTTGAAAACATACTGATATTTTCCCGGTCAATGGTACATGTGTACTGGGAAAACAAATTGAGGATCTTTTTCTTCAAAACAGTTTTATTACATTGTAATGAGAGATATAATAAATATAATAAAGCAAGGTTTAAGTGAATATCCTGTGATCTGCCAAGCAGAATTCAGCCAAAGGGAATAGGCGATAAAATACACCTAATATATTGAATACACTACTACAGTGACCCTCAAAATGGAATAATCAATTATTATGTTTTATATTCTATTTGTCTTGTGTTAATACAACAGTGATATCAGAATGTAGATGAATACGGTTGTTACGACATTGTGTAGAACTGGGCAATATTCCTTTTTTTATAGTGAATACCATACATTGAATAGTAATGAATACATCTTTTATTTGCACGAAACCTCAATAGCAATTCCCCCCTACAGTTATAGTGAAATCTTCTAGGATTCTTTATGTTAAAATTTCGCATTTAATAAAATGTATATATTCTTTCCTGCACGAGCAGTGATGTTAATGAACTGGATTGCTGTCAACTTGACCATGAATATAAATAAACTGAAACACGAGAATTGGATGCTTACGCTTGTGGCCAGATGCAGCAATTTGTCAAAGCCATTATCTAATCTAAAACCCCTCTAAAACCACATTTTGTTTTCTAAAGAGAAACAAAATCGTCATATATTCAAATTCAACCACATAACCTCATTGGTAAAGCGTGTGAATGGTGTTAACTTTTTTCTACACTAGATCTTTAGAGAATCTTTTGGAATAATAAATAAATTTGCATCACATCGAAGTAGTGTCTAGAATCAAGTACCCTCAACCCATCATTAACTTATATAACAAACCAGTAGGCCCTATTGTTCAATGCTATGTATGAATTATTTAGCACTTCGTAAATACCACTGTAAGTAAATACTTGATATTATATATAAATATATTTTGTGTAATCAAAAGATAGTGTTGAGTCTTCTGCATCATTTTGTAGATACTTCAGAAAAGTAATAGCACACTTTGATGAATGCGTCTCAGCTTTATGTCACTCAGTGATGATGACCACATCGAAAATAAAATCTGTATGCGTTCTGCGATTCCGTCGGTATCGCTGATATCTAATAAATGATATCGGTGAATATGATTGAATGCACGAGAAGAGAGTGGCCCTGCAGCTCCTGACAAGGGATTAGATTGTGTTTGTTGTGCTTTGGCAGTAGTCAGTCTCTGCGAGTTGTGGTAGAATCGTGTGCAAGAAGACAACTCGTAGCTAATACGTTAAATGAAGCTCGATTAGGCGATGACGGAGTGGATTGGAACGTGTCGAAACGTGGTAAGTCGAGATAATATCATAGTCTTGACAACCCTCGACGAATGCAAAGTCACTTCTTTCTCCACTTAACTTATAAGCTCTTCAAATATCCTTCCGCGTTGCGCCAGCTATGAGTCCTGTTGTATTTCCGCTATTTATCATTTTTCTTCAGTCTTTTTTGTAACATCGTCTTTCCAAACAAGTACAACATCGAAAAATGATGAACGACACAAGAGGACAGTCAAGTGAAGAAAAGGGGGGTAAAAGGGAATGGGGGTGGGGGCTCTTCACTATACACACACCCCAATGTTCTTTCCTTTTCTTTTCCAGCATCTTAGACCATGGGCACAAGGACACGGTGTGAGTATTTCATGGGAATGTATTGGTTGAACTCTGGGTCGACACGTCTGGCCTAATGTTGGTCTTACTCTACACACTGGTCTGCCGAACTTCGAGGCGCAACAATGCGTATGTGAACAGTCCCTCCATGTTTTACACGATTCACCCATTGGCTGAAGAGAAAAGAAAAATGAGAGAGAAAGAAAAAAATTAAATATAAGAATATGACATATAATTGTATTAATAGGTGAAAATGATTTAAATTTCATTAATCATTTAACGAAGCACGTTATGACGACTGGTTTACTTGTATTCTATACGCCATTGTTTCTATGTCCTACATAATGTGTCTCAGTTTCGTAAAAGTATATTTCGTATATACAGCTACTACTGCACTTTTATCAACATCGCATCTCACTATTCACAAAAAAGGTCTAGTAACATATACATTAAAAAAAACTAATCCTGGCACTTCGGACGCCGAACCAATTAGCCAATTTGGACATTTTCTTCCCGAATTAGGGGGAAAGCTTGTTAGTCGATGAAAAAGCAGGAAGTAAGTTCGGTGGCACATGAGCATGAGGGTGAGGCTCGCTAGGTTTGGCTAGGGTTTGATCGGCTTAGCTTGAGTCCCCTGGCAGTCATTCGTAGAATTCTAATTGATTAAATGATTGAGATCGAGTCAATATAGCAAGTGGGGTGGGGTACGGCATGGTGTTAGTACTCAATGGAGAGAAAACTTGTATTGGGGAATTCACTGGAGGTTGGGGCAGCTTAATTATAATTCGTACAACTGCTGGGCGTTCCCTTGATTTGGTTTCCGTTGGTTTAAAACAGTCCTTCTCCTGCACAGTTTGCTTTAATCACAGAAAGTGAATTAAATTCGATTAACATAATGCAAGACGCTCTCTATGCACATCACTGTGTGTAATCCCTGTCTTTTCATTGACAAATCGCCCTCTTCGAATAATTTCAGTCAGGTTACAATTTACTTTTTTATGTGGACTGGTCCGACTATCCGTACTTACACTAACAGCTTATAATGAATCTAAAGAAACGGACATATACATTGTATACGAAAATACAGTATCAAATAAAGCGGAAGAAAAAACAAAGCTAAAAGGGCCAACGAAATGAAACAAATCACTTTTGAAATCGAGTTGTAGGGCTATATTTCAGGATGGTACTTAAAACCAAGCTTGTTCATATTTGAATCAACAAAGGAAGAGACAGGTACATAGTTCAATTGAAGAGCAACAAATCAAGGAGGCAGGTAATGCTCCTTGATTTAACCTACACATTTACTACGGACATTGCGATATCATTGTGACAGAAATAGAGAGAGAAAGAGGGGGAGGGGGAGAGACGGGGAGTTTAGCTCTCCCAGGGTCTTCTACCAGCTGAGCCACACCCAGGGGTCTTTGTTGATCCTCCTCTTGAGAATAGTACCTCACGCGTGTCCATAAAGCTGAGAATGCGACCGCCTCACCATCCAAACCCCCAGGAGATGCTATCCACACGAGTAGATATACGCACACTTCTTATTCCACCTGACACGGGCCTTCCAAAAACAAAAGACGCACTTTGAAGAAAAAAACGGAGAGGAAACCAGCGTGGGGGTAGAAATAAATAAGCGGCAATAACAAGCCTCTCAGCATAAGACAGGTCGTATTTAAATCGACAGTCAACCATTTCCTTCACTTGTCGGAAACGCGCCTGGCAATAAAACACTCTATAACAAGCTTTAAAAATTATGAACTTGAATGTTTATGGCATAGCTGAAAAGCAGGTGGTCAAATAGCGGTTCCCTCGTTCTAGAGGACAACTGGGCTTGACCATTCGTTCGTCCTTCTAGTGTGGTGGGATACAAAAGTGTAGAAATCAAGAATGTTCAGAAGAGGTTACCGTGAATGCTGCCACAAGTTTTGCCATCGATCAATAGTGTTGACAGAGATAAAACAATACATAATCAAGATATAATGTGTCGATAGCCATTGCATATCCAAATATGAATGAGGTCCAAAGTCCAAACTTACTGTTTGTAAAGCACATTAATGTTATAATCCACCCTCGAGGCGTTATCCAATTTGAACTTGCTAGCCAAACAATCAATTGGTTTCATAACAATCATGAAAACATAAACTTGAAAAGTCACATACCGAATATAACCCAAGAAGTTAGATTGTGTAGGAACCAAACACGAAGCATCTGGGTAGGAACAACTATTCTGTATTACCTTTTCCATGCAGAAGAGATGAAATAAGAAAAGAAGTTCTTTGATCACTCAGCGACAAAGGTAACGACACAAGTATCGACAGCGCCATCTCATGGGCAGTCTTATTTCCTTTGGTGGAGGTTTCAATTATACATCTCTCTCGCCCACAATTAATGACTCTTGGTTTCTTATTGTCTAATTGCATAACTTGCATATCATCAGAAACAGACCATAGAGATATGAAGAAGCTTCCACAAGCATTAAAGATATATGTCATAGCCCGAGTCTATATAGGTAACCATTTACATATAGATACATTCTGTAATGTAAAGATGTCTATAAAAAAAACTGTATCTAAACCGTCTTCTTTTTTCCATTAGTCATCCAATCACACTGCTTGGCTTTAAGTTCCAAAATGAATTAGCAAAGAACTGAATTAAAATACCAAAGAGGCGCGGTTCAATATAAAATAGTAGCAGAGATGATGATGACTCCCTGCAATAAAATCATCGGTTTATGACTAACGGAGACAGTTATCACAATTAATGCGGTTCGTATCAAAGGCACTCGCCGATTATTTATTCATAAACCATGCATGGACAATTGACTTTCATGACCGCCCTTTGGAAACGAAAATGGCCTCAACAAAATTAGGCCAGGACAAGACAACTTGTAATGGGTATCCTTTCAAGGAGTGCTGAATAGGATGATCAAGGGCTGTGTCCTAAACTACCTTCTATACACGTGGAAATTGGCAATTTCATTTGGCGAGGTCGTTCAGCATTTCAACATTAACACGAGATGGTTCCATCGGAATGATCGGACGTTGTGAGAACATTTTTCTATGAATAGCTTTTCGCCTTCGAGAGTTGAAGAAATTACTTCCACTTCCGTCGATGGCATCTCCAATGAGGGGCGAAGGCTTCACCTCCCTTTAAAGTTTTCTGTACAGAATTGCAAATATACTGCGAAATGCACTTCTACTAGCTCTCCCCATTAATACCATGCACGGCATATAATGTATCTATACAGTATTGATAGGCTGAATTCATTATTCACATCCTTACACAGAACGTCAAAGTCAGCTACGTGTTTTGTAATATATTTCCAAAGCGACTTCGTGTTTGCTAACGATATCTAGTGATATCATATAGAAATAGAGGTTGGCATTTGAATATTATAGGTTAGTTGTCAATAATTAAAGTTTAAATACACACTGTGCGTCTGGAGGAGGTGGTGGGTAGTATTAAGCCAGATCGCATGAGACCATATACCGCAGGCATGCAGGATCGACGGACTCGAGCCAGTGATGGAGATGGGTTATTACAGGGCATGTAGCTGGATAGGGAGTTTTCTCTTAACGCTCTCTTGAGCTCGGTTTTCCGATGCTTCCCATTCCTGGCTCACCCTCTCACTGAGTGACAGGCGAGGTTCGATGTACCCATCATGAAATATCTCTGCCATGCCAAACATTGAACGTGTAAATAAAAGCCCTGTTATAGTATCTCAGTTCCCCTTTGTACACGGTTCTATATCATCGATGACGGAATGGATTAGCCGTAGGCCATAGGCTATGCTCTCATACTGCATGAGCGAAGTCAATACATGCTATCTTTGAACTTGAAAATAAATGATAAAAATGTAAATATTAATATTTCCTTGTTTTTATGAAGTTTGCATCGCTTATATTGTATGTGTATTAATAATAATTTATAACTCATTTGAACAAGTGACTAAAGATTTTTAAAATTTTAATTTGAGGCAAATGGGCCGAATTAAATCGTCACGACTGGGAGCTCAGTGTGTTCTTTGTTACGCGAAGGGTAATTTGTTTTAAGATGAAGTCGCTGTTTGGAGTTAATATAAGAAACAAGGTCCCATGGTGAACCACGCTTTGAAGCAACCATCTTACTCTAAAATTAGATTTCACCATATTGACGTCCCTGGGAAGCTGAAAAGCAAGATTTGTCTTCGTTTTAGGGGACTCGTTCCTAATCTCTGCTAATCGATGGATGTATCCTCATCGTAATGCAGGTTAACACTGTTTGGGGTCGATGCTCTACTATACCAATCACCCGTTAGATGCGAGTATTGTTCCATTACCCTACCTACATCAACCAATCAGTTTCCCCTTTAAATTAGTCAGTCGAGTTAAATGAACAAACAAGCGAGAAGCTGCATCATAAGGTTTCCTTTCGAAAGTTTATAGGGCATTGTCAAAATCAGGATAATCATTATTTGGTGATCTTGGCTAAATGCCTGTATTATTCATTGGGCTATAACTTTCAAGGCCTGGGGATTATATTCATAAACGTTGAACCTGTTTCAAGGCAGAAACAAGGGAGACAATCATCATTGTTTACTCTACTACAGCAGTAAGTTGTTGTAGCTCAACGCGCTAAATTCCTGATGCCACTCATAATGCGCTTTCTGTCATCATAAGAAAATGCTATTGTTGAATACACGACATCTACACAGTCAAGTACAATGCTATAATTCAACAGATAATCTCTACAAAAATTCCCGGTGTTTTGTCCAATTCTGCAGTGTCAGCTCACGTTTGTCAGTTTTAGTGGAAAGATGGACACCATTTGACAGTTATTACAGCAACCTTGACATCGCGCTCGATAGAGAATGGTGAACCACTTATGCCATTTTTCTCCCGGTAATAAACGTGTTTCAAGATCAAGTCCACAAAGCGCATACCTAGTCTAGCCTCTGCGTGGAATTCATTCAAAGCTGTACAGTTCTGCAATGCCAAAGTGAACGTTACAACATTGGGCAACGATATCCACTTATGCGAAATGCAACTGTTATTTCCATGACTCAAACTGAATGTCGTGCTACTATATGATTGATGATAATAATGTTATTGTCATCAGCGAGGATGCTTTTCAGTGGACTCACAATGAGTTTAGAATACCAACGCGATGAAGCAGCGAACGATACGCAGTGGGT